TCAGATTTATTACTTTTTCTTAGTCTTTTAATTCATACTTGAGCTGTTAAGTGCTGCTTTTAGAAAAAATATAGTTAAAGGTTCTCAAATACAGATAAATTAATATTAAGTCTCCTAGAACAGTTAGAGTAGCAATTTAAGAAGCTTTTAAAGCCTTTATTGATTTGTACTAATCTGCACTTTTGAGAAAACAGAAAAATAATCAAACAAATGGAAAAATAATCTTTATCATATATTAATTCAGAAAATGTGCATTGAAATAAGGAAAGAACTTTAAACATGTGTCTTTAATTAAAATATGTTGTGGTTTTGCATCTTTAGTCGTAATAAATATACTATAACCACCTAAGTGCACAAGTAAGAGGAAGATGGTTAAACTTAGTCCAAGATGTCAAATGGTCTGAGTCTGATTAAACAAAAGAACAGAGAAGAAAAGAACACAGGATATCAGAAAAGCATGAGAAATGAGAACTGAACTATCAGTTTGAGGGAAAAACGCATACATATATACAGTATATCTACAGGCATGGCTAATATAAACAAAAAAGATATTGGTTTTCATTGCATCTTTTTGTCATCACTGGTCCACACGGATTCACGCATAACAAAGTCAAAGCACTTGTGTTTGCGGTGCTCATTGCAGACAGACTCAGATTTTATTACATGTGTCTGACAGCAATGTGGAAAGGATCTCTATTGAACCCTTATTCAATCCTGGGCTCGATTGTTGTGGGAGGAACAGTGTTGCAGAGGGACAGCCGTCCATAAATGTGTGAGAGGAGACATAAAAAAAAAGTATGAGCACTCAAAACATAGCCTTCCACAGAGAGGAAATGAATAAAATATCGATTGTTGTTTGCAAGTTTCCAAAAACTGATACTGCAATCGAATGTTCATACAATGTACAGCAATTGATTTAACTGAGATGACTAATGCCTATGAAATTTGTACAAACTGTAGGATATTTCCTGAAGGAGTTCAAAGACATCCTGCAGATTGAGTAGAGGTCAAGTTATAAACTAGAGTTAATCCTCCCCTGCTGCTTTATCCTCATTTAATTCATCCTCTCTTGAATATAAAGCAGCCATTCTTATTTAAACTTTACTAAAAGACCCCTCCATATGTTCACTACCCAAGAAAGAAACTAAATTCCACCAGAGTTTAGTCACCAGTGACCTGGAACAATACATCAAACACATAACTACATGAATTCTGACAAACAAATGCCATGAAATAAATTAAATTAAAATGTCAACTACTTCTATGACTACAGATTATGCACACTCACATGACACCTGTTGTTGCTTAGATACGGTCAGGCAGACAAAAGCAGAGCTCCCAATGGACAGTGATGTAACAGAGAAAACAGCTAGCATCATCTCTGCTGACCACAAACAATGCAAAGGTTAAAAAAAAAACTTTAAAAAAACAGGATAAGGGCTGTTAGGGAAATCAATATAAGTATAATCATTTTTGTAATTTCTCTCTGGTAACTTTCCACAATTGAATATTTTAAAGGTTCTTTCCTCCTTCAAGGTCTCAGAAGGTCCCCTCATATTTTGTCTGGAGGATTGTTTAATACAGATGCAGGAGGAAAGAATGAGGGACAGACTTTACGTCTTATTTCAGACTCAGAAGGGGATAAAATGCACCATGATTTGTTTTACGTCATATGAACCACCTTTATGGTCGAGCTGGCTGCTCTCACTTCACAAAGTTTTCCTTTTCCATTTTTTCCCTTTTAATACATTTAAATTTCTTACTTCCTCAGATGGACTCAGACTTTTGCTTTAAAATAACATTTCCACAACAGGGCAAAGACAATCTTAATATACAAATGGTGAAAAATCATCAGTCTGATTTGGTTCAAAGCTCTTTCGGACATCCTTCCACCTGTTTACTGCAGACTGTGCGGTAGAATAATCCAGTGAGGATTGTTTCCATGTTAAGTGGTTCCCGGCACTCTTGAAAAGTCTCCCGGCTGCGATTGCTTCACTTAGACAGCGAAATGAATTACAGCTTCCACTGACCAGAGGCGACAGTAAGAATAACCACTGTCTACGTTTGATAAAAGCCGCCTCAAATCCTTCATCGCACGCAGACACACACTCACCAACATTTCCAATCCCAGCCATGTGCTTCCCCCCCCACACGGTTCCAGCCCATGGCTATTTAAACAGCAAGGTGGTAGGTCCAGAATCTTATTACCTAAGGAGGGCTGAGCAGCTGGTAGCCCCCTGAATTCATTAAAGCTCAATATCTGCTGTTTGTTAAGACAGCCACACAGGGCGAGGTGACCTCAATATAAGCTGGATAATATGTGAAGACTGCAAGTTTGGGTTTCATGTTGTTGTTTTTCTGTTTATAAAGGAGACTTATACACCGTAACACAACACGCAGAAAAAGAAAGTAATCCAAAAGTGAAAAAGTTTACAGTCAAGTTTAAAAGTCGCTCAGATCTTCTGTTAAAGTTGATTGTTTTTATGTTCAAATACGACTTCCGACTTTAATAAGAGCCAGTAGTCTATAAGCTTAGGGCAATTCCATCCAAAGTTTTCTTCGCCTGCCGACTAGTGATTCCTTTCTCCATAATATCACTGAATGGTTTCACAATATCTCAGTGATATCCAACTATCACACACCAAAATATGATCCAGATTAGAATCAGAATCAAAATCAGAATCAGAAATACTTTAATAATCACAGAGGGAAATTATTTTTGTTTCAGGCTCCATAAGTAAAAACAAAGGCATATACATATATACATGTCTGTACATATATACATATATATATATATATTATATATACAAAATTCCTCATATAATATAGCTAGATATATACATAAAAAAACTATATGTATATGTATAGGTCAAAAGAACAGACTATCTGTGTGGTTGATGTGTTAAATGGGTTGACTTATTGTGTTTTAGGTTCTTTGAATCGGTCAAAGATAAAGTGTGATTGCAAACAGATACAAGAAGCACCCAAAAATGCTGGATTAATGCTGTATCTTGCTCTATACCCCATGTCAATTTTAATCATGCATAATAATGGCGTTCCAAAAATATATAATTAATGATAAATCATCATAATCCTGGCTGCGCATCTATTTATTCGTTTCAAATCAAATTTGCATCCCCTAAAGCAAAGTGAGGCAGATTCTTCTGGGGGAATTTTTCTGGAGTCACCACACATCTCAGTCAAACATGTTAAATTTACAAACATAAGAAACTTCACATCAGGGCAGATTCCTCTTGCCTCACACACTCAGCGTTTCATCCCACTCACGGTGGAGGGATTCTGGTCCAACATGCGGCTCTGGCTGTGAATAACTTCCATGTGCTGCATTTGACAGACATCCAGAACCTTCCGTTTCTGCTTGAGTAAATCCAAGAAAACTAATTGCAAAAAAATGTTTGTGCTTTTTCGAGGAAAAACATTTTGGGGTGTTGTAATTTTAAGTAAATGTTAGGCATTGGCGATTGCATTTGGGGGCAATTTTCTAGCTGTGGGATACTTTGATATTTGGTACCGTGGACAGTTTTGATAACAACAGAGGAGATGTGCAGATTACTATGATGCTTCGAATGTCCATTTTTTGTCTTTCCATTACCAATTTTAATGTTCTCATGATGCGTTCAATGCCAATATAAAGTGAACTGTGTAGGCAGCATTATTATATATAAAATGACTTAAATAGATTAGATTTGTATCTGGATACAATGTGGCGTTTTGGCTGTATTAGTGACAAGCAGCCACTATGTCCAGTGAGTGGTCATACCAGCTGTCATCCCTTTGGAGTTAGGCAGAGAAGGTGATTTACCAGGAAACCGGTTGAAATCGAATCATAAAACAAGTAATACAAAAGCAAAGGTGCTGCTCACCTGAATGATATGGTTAACACATGAGGAGAATACAACATTAGGGCATCAAAAGTTCCACTAATCCGTCTCTTTCTAAAGCCGAAACAGCAGTTTATGCTTCTGTCCATTTTTTAAATTGACCAACCTAATGTGAAATGTGACCATAAAGGAGCAACATACAACTGAATTATATTATTTGTAACCATAATAACAAATGGCAAAAGATATCTTCTCCTTTTCATATTCTTTGATGTAACACAAATTGGACTGTGTTTAGTTTAACAGCCAATAGAAACCCTCTGAAAAGTACATTACTCACCCTGACTAAGACATAAGTCCTCAGCTGGTGGTCTCTCTTATCTCCTGTTCTTGTAAGTCAATTTCATGCTATGCCAATTTATATTTATCCCGCAAAGCTGAACTGTTTCCTCACATTCACTGAGACAGCATCTACAAATTAGAGGTATAATTGGATTATTAGCCTACATTTGTTAGGGGCCGGGGAAGGCTAAAGGGGGTTGTAGTCCTTTGTGGAAGAGGCCAGGTGGTGAGTAACAGCTGGCATCCCCTCGATGCTCTCCTCAGGTCAGAGATGTCCAGATCCAGAGACTCAAAGCTGTCCTGTAAAAAACGCCTGGCCACTAGCCATCCCTGCCGGCCCCGCGCACGGACATAGAGGTTTCTTCAAAGCTGTTACATTTCCAGCTTCTGTCTTTTCTCAGTTGGCAGGTTTGGGCCAACAGAGCTGTTTGGAATCAAAACTGGACGTGATCATTTCAGAGTTTGAAATGACTAAAAAAGGTCCCAGGAATTGTTAAAAATTTTCCAGTGAGTCTGTCTTTTTCCAGACTTCTTTAAACTCATTTCTGTTGACAACTATACTTTGTATTCCACACACTCCAGAGTGGTCAGGATAAAATGTGCGAGAGTCTGACCGGTCTGATCAGTTGCTCATTACACAGATTCAAGTGCCAGCTGTAAGCTAATGTTTTTCGATGGGAGAGCGCTTTAGTCAGTGGCAGGCCTGGTATTTTCGCCGCCATGGGCAGCATCATACGAGAACATCCCCCCGAGGGCATCCTCCTGAGCAATTTAAAAAGTGCATCTAATTCCCATCTTATTACTGCCCGTACACAGCATCGCAAAATGACCGACTCACAGCCCAGCAGCCAGCTGTTTATAATATCACCTTACGATCTGATCACCCGCATCTACAGCGGTTGCCTGAAGAAATATTACTCCTCTTCACCTCACCAGAAGAATCCCCAGGTGATGCCGTGACATGCCCATCTGTTGTAAAGGAGGACGACGGCCCCGAGAAGTAGTAATACCGAAATGGGGGCTGGAAGCGTTCAGGCCTCTTAAATGCCATTTCAGCTCAAGTCAATATATTCCCTCCGCCATTCTTCACGAGTCTGTCTCAAAAGGCTTTGAAAAGAAAAGCCACTTGAGTCTATGGAATAAAGAGGCCCTGAACTGATTGTTCAGCTTTTGAAATGCATCACACACACAAAGACATTATAATAAATGGAGAGAATGTATTGGACAATAACCTCAGCGGCATTTTTTCAAAGTAAAAAAGAAAAACTTTGAGACAGTGGTACCTGTGAAGATCTAGTCTGTATTTAAAAACCACATTTCCTATGATAAATAGCAATGAACGGCACAATTTACAACTCATTAAAGTCTTAGCTGTTTGACATGTCATTAGCTTAACTCTAAAGTAAGTTAAATAGTTAAGCTTTAGGCATCAGTCAACTGGTTGAATTGAGTTCCCTGTTTTTTCACCTTGAAATATTTTCACATTTTCAAATCTAAAAGTGAACTTTGTAATACATCTGTGATTACATGTATTCGACACTAAGCAATTTGTGGAAGAGAATGCCCTTTAGAGTTCAGTGAAACATGGAGGTGCCAAAATAGGGTTACATGTGCTTTGGAGTCTCAGTATATTCAGAACTCTAACTGTTATACCTTGATTATTTTCAAGTTTTATGTTTGACTTCCTGAACCATGAAATCAATTACCCACATTTCCTGCAGTTGATTTCAGCCTCTGCTTCGTGAGCTACAGTGGTAAAAGTCGTTTTTATTGTCTTCTGAGAACTTTGAAACACAAGGTCAGATTCAACATCTCTAACTAAAAGTTTAACAAACCAAACTAAATGAAACTTCGTCTTGCTGCAAGAAAAGTGTCTGAAGATCAGACAATTGGTTTCTGGTATGTGATAGCAGACAGTTTTATGTAGATACAATAACAAATACATATTGGTGACCATGATGTGATAGATATTGATCTGGATTCATGATTCACATAATAACAATGTTATATAATTCCCATTCATGTAACTTTTGGGAGCAGTAACTGGAATGTGAATGTTAAACTGTGCGGTAGTCTCAAAAGCACCAAATGTTGAATATGGGAGGCTGCTTCGCTATTGAAGAGATTTGAAAAATAAGTCCAAACATTTTTTTTCATCCATCAATGCCTTCCTCAGTATCTTTCCTCTGGGTTTGCCATCCTCTGCCCCACCCCTGGCGGGCAGCAGAATTTGACATGAGAATAGAGGATGTCAGTGTTATCACCATGGAACAGCCGACAGCTCTGAGGGAGACCCGGACTTTCAGCGGCTGCCCCTGTAGCTAATTACCCATCCTTCAAAAGGGGTGGACCTCCGGCTGCCGTGCTGCAAAACAAACCAACAAGCTCTGGGCGGCCATCTTGCAAATGGAAGCACATGACCAAGTCAACCTCACGGTAGTTATTGCTGATGCTGACAAGCTCATTTGTTATGTTTCAACACTCATTTTACCACATAAACAAAATCCAATATGAGTACTTTATCAAAAATTAAGATTATTAGTCATTTATAGTATAACAGGGATGCCATAATGGTACCAAATCTCATCTGCTTGACTATGTGTAACTGATTTTCCACAGAGCCCCTTTTCCTGCAAAGCATCCTTTTTTTATATATATACTGTAAGAGCAGTAAAAGTCAAGATGAAGATTTTGTGATGCTTGTTAAAAGATGGACTGGTAGCAGCGTACAGTGTGCCCTTATTCTGAGACATTGGGAGGAATTATATCACCAGCGAGGTTTCCACCAGGTTACAAACACAACACCCTAAAACATTTATAGCGATCCCTAAAGATTTTCATCTGTCTCTCTCACTGCTGTGCTGCCTTCTAAAATGGGAGAAACAATTCAAACATTGGATTTTTCTCTGCAAATGAAAGAAATGCACACAGTTTGCCTGCCCATTCCTATATTTGGTTAAAAAAAAAAGAGCATACATTCTGGTAGACCCCTGCTCTAACCATACCCCCATTGTTTCTTTAGCAACAAATAATCATAACATTTTAAAGAAATCAATCTCCAGAAACTAAAACTGAAGTCATGTTTTGAAACCGGGAGACTGGAACAAACGGAATGAGCCACAAGAGGATGATGTCAGTGTGTGTGACAGACTATATTAACTCATGTGTGGAGGGAATTATTCCCAAAAGGACCGTGAGGCTCTTCCCCAGTAACAGACTCTGGATCACCAATAACCTGAAAAGACTGTTGAATGTGAAGAAGAAAGCCTCCAGGGAGGGAGACAGGGAGCTAATGAGGACTGCGAGTAGGCTTAAAAGATGACAGGACGAGAAGGTCTGCAGAAAAAAACCGATGCAGCAGGGCAGAGTCAATTGGATGGAGCCAATAAGCTGTTATTGTGTGTAGTTCAGAACATTACTCAGTATGATTCTTATCTGCCTCCAACTACAGACCTCAGACATCAGGACAAGAACGAGCAGGAGAAACTGAACCAGAACTAAATCTGAAGATGGTGTAGTCCCAAGAGTCCTGAAGGCCTGAGATGAACGGATCTGTGGGATTTGATGAATACTTTAATGATCTCACAATGGAGAGATTAACTAATTTCAGCACCTCCTCACTTCATAATAATATTAATAATATTATTATTGACCAATGGGATAGGCTCCAGTTCCCCCACGACCCCGATAGGGAATAAGCGGTAACAATAATGGATGGATGGGTGGACAATAAAAAGCACTTTTCTTTAGAAAGAAAGTACATAAAATCAACAAGTATATTCCAAACAATACAAACTAACTTTAAAAATGTGTGTTTTTGTCAGTACAGTGTCAGATGTGTCTGGGGGAGAGAGTTCCTCTTCAGTGTGATGGAAAACATTCTGCATTGCTGCTGTACCTACTCTCAACTTTATTCATTCTGCACCTTTCAAAGGCTTTTTCTAAGAACTGAATGTGGAAAAGTTCAACACTGGTCCAGAAAAGGAGCTGTTTAAGAAGGAAATGTTTTACAAACCACATCATGGGTATTTCCTCTAAATGGTTTTTGTAGATCATTAAACTGAGAATACAATGACGAATAAGTGCAATTACAAGTCAAAGTGAAATTGAGTGAATGTGTTCAATAAAATATCAGTTCCATAGAACTATATTGTAACAGAAAATTAGTATAAATGCAATATCACAACCAAAATCATGTTTTAAGAAAAGGGACAACTGTTATACGTACATAAAATGGGAGCAAATATATACATTCTGTTTCAAAGCTATAATTGAAATGTGTAGTGTCAGATCACACACATACACAAACAAAGAAACAAAATTAATAACAGAGGGAGATTGTTTTCCATAGAAATAACGGTTACCAGGTGGAAATTCTGATCGAAGCTAAATTAGTCTCCATGTTGTTTCTAAAATCTAAAAAAATGAAAACCAAATCCTTGAAAATACTGCATTAAATGAATAGCGTTTCATAAACAAATCATCAACATCTTATTAATTAGGTTGTTTAGTCATTAAACACATGTTAAACAAAGACTAGAGTTTTTCTCCCTTTTAAACTGAAGCAGTGTGCCAATAAGTGAAAATAAAGGAACCTCATTAAACTAAAGTTGAATGATCATCTGACACAGGTATCTGATTGCCGTTAGTTGTATTTTACTAATTAAGATCAATCCATAGTATTAAATGATCAAATCTATTAACCTGTACACATAAATATTCAAAGCTTTGGCTTTCTAAAGATCTCTCTGTGCTATTATGAGGAAGCCTCAGTTCTCTTGCTCAACACACCTGACTTCATTCACATGGATCTCTTCATCTATTTTGGATCTATTAATTGGACCCAGATGTGTTAAATTAAGGGAATACCTAAATCGTGCTTTGTAGTAGTCAGCCAAGAGGATTCCCTCTTATCTTTAAATAAAAAATAATTGTTTAGAAAAAAATGTGCGTTAAAATATATAAGACAGAAAAATGCTTTCAGTGTAATGTCATACTTAAAATCACATGTATATGTTTAATAAAGGAGTAAATGATTGATAATCCTTCACCTTTCTGTCTATTTTCATTTCTAATGGCATTGTTCGGATTGACCAATGCTTTAGAAATTAACTTTTCAGAGGGGTTATCTCTGTGTTCTACTGATGAAGCATGAGTATTTTCCTCAATTTGGGGAGAAAAGAACAAAAAACAAACATGGATGAGCATTCAAGCTGGAGCCACAGGGAGCTGTCAGTAGGTCAGACAGAGCTACATGCAAAGAAAACACATAATAAAAACTAATTGGCTCTTTTACACACTCTCTCTTCCTTTTATAATTTACAATCATTATAATGGCCACAGCTGAAATCAGAAGTAAAGATTAGAAATGCCATTTTCTCCTGCTTGGCAGAGTGTGCTGTCTTTTCTACTTTGCTGTGTACATTTTTAGGCTCGGCTGGGGCACGGCAGAATAGGAGTCATGTTGGAAAGGCACCAAATCTTATTTTGGATTGTCTGTTTTTTTCCAGCGATGGTGGCAGGATTACATGCAGGCCTACACACTCCCCTGCCGTCACCGCTGGATCCCGACGCGTTTCCCTTTTTGGAACATGAAAACAAGGTGGTGCGGTGGACCCACTTCCCTGTTTAATGAAGGTTGCTTCAGTTTCATGTAGATGACTTCCTATATTTGTCTCCCAAACTATTTGTCTTTTTTCGTGATTGGTTTGGATGTTGTCTCCCATTCTTTGGATACAGGTAAAATCCTGAGGAGCTCCTCCTCCTGCACTGATCCACGGTCTTAAGAGCAGGTGTTTAATTTCACCAAAATAAAGGTCTGTGCGCTCTTAACTACACAAAACTAGGCGTATAAGAGCTGCACAGCTTGTGTTTAGGCAAATTATCCTCACGCTGGATTATTTTCTGTCTTGAATAGATGCTACTCTCGTAGTTTATCACAGATGTTCAGAAATTAGATCCATCTTACTGATGTATTAATGTATTAATGTTCTTTTAACAGAATTCTATGGTGGCATAATGAGTGTTTGTATCTATGTAGTTGAAAACCTAAATTTGATATCAGTCCTGTCCTGTGTGAATGCCATAGTCCAAAAAGGGACCTTCTATTCACTGAAATGTCTTTTTTGTGACAAACTTAATTGCACAATTGTGTTATTGATTATTTTTATTAGACCGTGACCAAGTGTAGGTCAGACAAAATCATTTCGACTTATTAACAACAGAGACTGTTCACTAGGAATAAGGTTGTCGAATTATTCTCCAATAGTTTGTTTTGTGTTTCCACTCACTTATTGTTTGCTCCGTGTTTCCTTTAATCGATCTCTTAACTGTGATGCAGTTAAATCAGTTAAAGATCATAATCATTTTTGTCAATGCTGAGGCCAACAGGACTTTTCCCGTGTCGATCTGGCTGATAATAATAGCTCCAATGTATCCAACTGAGACAACAAACAATCGCACACCAACAAGATGCTGCAGAAGTTCTGCTGTCAGGCTGGTGCATAAGAGCCCTGTCTTCTTTGAACCAGCATTTAGTTGTAAAGCAAAATCATTAATAACACATCCAGCTGTTTTTAAAGTGCCATGTGACTATTTTCTTTCCCTCCAGACTCCAGTTCAACTTGAGGTGTTATAAGCTGTAATGCAAACGGTGTAGTGGATACATGTAAGGAATAAAACTAAAAAAACAAGCATTCAGACCTTCACATGACTGTCCTATGCTAATGATGAGGATTTGTAGTGGATTACAAAGGCAAATATATGCAAATATATCACATCTTCTCATTTCTGAAATGCTTTGTTAATCAGAACTATTTATGCTCTTCTTGTTTAAAAGATGGAAATAATGCTAAATGCTGCTAAACGCATAAACATAATATTTAATATATTTCCAAATGTTTGACTTTTTTCCTGGAAAATAGTTATTTTGTTACACATTTCCTTGAAATAATTCTCCTTTTTTCAGAATGAACCGGGCTGTGGGAGAGGTTAGTCTGAATATGTTTTTGCCTCCTCACGAGTTATTTTTTACCCAAATAAAATGTAACATTTTCTTTTTTTTATATCAGGTTTGAAATTCTATTCCAGCCATACACAGCCAGATAAAGCGAACATGCTATCAGTCTGAAAAAACACAGCACACATTTTCACTGACATTTGAAACACTATTTTATTGGAACAACTTCTGTATCCTATTAGCTTATCACTCTTTTTTGGTATGTGTGCATGGGGTGTGGAAGGGCTATTTTTCATTTGAATGCATGTGTAGATTTGGTAGTAAAAACACAAAACCACAGCATGCTAACATTAGGATTCCTTGGGAAAAAATTACAACCCACACGCGCTCACGGTGATAGTTAAAGTTGGGATTGGGACTGCAATCTCCTCAGGCCCGAGGGGAGACAGAGGTGGGGAAAGGGCGAGAGACAGTCTGTTTGAGATCAGACGAGGTAAAAATCAGACAAAGGGTCTCAGAGGAGGTGAGAGAAACGATGTGAGACTGCAGCTAAACAGCAGCTGTGGACCCAAAGTGCATTTCTCTCCACTCTCAGACGGGTGCAGAGTCGACAGATAAAAATCTTTAACTGCACAGACGTCAAAGTTCCATTCCCGCATGTTATGACAGTGAACAGATTATCAACAGCCTGCGTGATGATGTCATGCATCACATCCTCATTTTGGGATGTGGACGAAGATTCTTGATATTCTCCACGTGTCCATGAACCGGAAAAGCTTTACAGAATAGTAAATTATAGTTTAAGAATGTTTCTTAAGGACTGGTGAGAATTCCCATATGTGAATATGCAATTAAACACTCAGCTTTAACCCAAACCACAAAACCAACTCTGGGTTTTTCACCAGCGTTCAACACGTTTCACCAGAAATTACACATCAGCAGAATTTGACAATTTAATTTTTTTTTCAATTTGTCTTTTTATCCATGTAGTTTCTTGGTTCTTTTACAGTTTGAAATATAGTTTAAGTGATAGTGTAATAACCTTCAATAACATAAAATTACATGAACTAGTTTTAAATCCTCATCTCAGAAAACAAATGTGATATTCTGAATATTTATTTATTTTTCTTACCAATTTGAGTCGTCTAAATTTGGTTGTATTCTGTAACAATGAGTGCCAGCTTTCACTGTGGTTTCATACAACCACAGATGATTGGTTTCAGATTGCTTTCGCTTAATATTTTGAGGGAGAACATGGTTAGAAAATTAGATCGCATTATTTCAAATTAGTTTGGTCCACCGATCTCGAGAATGTTTATCTGTGTAATTAAACTCTTTATTCTAGCTCTGCCAGCACCGGCTAAAGCTGCAGCAGGGGAGGATGAGCTGAGTGTTGTAAGATTTACAAACGGTGGTGGTATTTGTTCGAAATATTCAGTCTATTTGAACAAATCAAGAACAGCTGGAGATGTATCGAATCAACAGAAGCAACAAGTTTGTTGGTGATAATCCAAATAACTGCAATTTTCAGAGATCACTCAGTTTTTAGAACAACAATGACTATAATGAGGAAAATAATTCAATCTAAACTGAAATCTTCTCATTTTTCACAACTGTTTAAGTATACTGTCGTATTTATCGTGCTATATATTGTCGTGGCAATGGGAATCTATGGAAATAATGCCTAAAATCCCAATAAATAAATTAAACTACAAGGAAGGTTGGATGCTCGTTTGAACATTTTTATACAAAAATATCAGTTTGCTTCAAATTGAATTCTATTCTGATCCCTCAGAGATTTGGTTACTATGACAGATTACAATTACATTCATAAAAGGAATTAAAACAGAATCTAAAGACTTTGCTAAAGACTTCTTTGTTCTGTTATGCTTTGGACAATTAAGATAAAAGAGATTCCTCCATTAAATGTTTATTCACTGACCTCAAGTTGTGAAAATCAACAGCTAAAAAGACCAAATTATGCTGTTCTATTTAAATACAACAGTTTAAAAGGGAAGCTGTATGGAATCCAGCCAATATCTTCTTTGTGATGTCAAAACAGACTCCGATATATTCCATTTAATTTATCTGTGTTTTTTAAATCCCGCCCATTATTTCTAAAACAATTCAATCACAAATCAATCAGCATGACACATTTGAGCAGCTGCATCGTTTTGGCCGGTAATAAATTAGTCTGGAAAGCGTGCTCCCAGCCTCAGTACCTGCAATGATCCAATAACGTGGTCAATTCGATCATTCTAAGTCCGGTCATCGTTTGCTTCTGTTCCAGCTGTATATACAGTAAATACCTGATGTCCACCTATAAAAATGAGCTGCCCATTCCAGTCATTTTAACAAGCTGCACACCTCTACACCTGCAAAATGTCAAATTTGTAATTAGCTCGGCCTTCATGCAATTGTAGCTTATTTGCCTGCTTTTAATTTAAGGTCAGTAGGCCCAGAGGTGATATATTTCCTGAACTAATACATGCAGCCCCCCCACAATTTGGAGGAGACACGTACACAAAAATCACTAAAGTGGCTCATAAGAAGCAACGGCAAGTCCGTATCTCTGCTAATGAGGGGCAATTGTTTACAAATTCATGCTGGAGTAATTCAATACGCCCAGCATCAACAAATTAGAGCAAACTCTGGTACAATGTGCCCCCAGCACACAGCAAGAAGCCCCCTCTGACACCACGCTGTTTAGTGCTCAAAGCTATTGATGCTAGAACTCCAATTCACAGGAATGTTTTTAAGCAATGATACTGAGTAGATGTTTTTTTTTTATATATATTCAAAACACTTGGAAATGTGAAGTTTGGTTCATTTTCACGATCCGTCTTGATTGAAAATCAGTTATCTTTGGTTTATTTCAAACTAAACCGTAGCATTATTTCCTTATTCTGAAGCCAATAAAAGAGAACTTATTCACATAATAGATTTGATATTATATTATAATCATATAAAGTCAACTTGATTAAAGTGGCATGATGGTGCAAAAGCCCTCTCTGGAAATGAGAATGGTGACTACACAATAACAAATCCCACCATCCCTGAGGTTTGATGAGTTTGTCCACATTTGAGGACGTGAAGTGAGAATAAACAGCTCAACATTACTAAATGTTCATTAAGCAGAAGCAACTGTCAACGGCAATATTTTGACACTTTCCTCCAGCCTCCTGGAAGAAGAAGAAGAAGAAGAAAGCAACTTATCTCTGTGGAGCAACCTAAAAATGTGTTCATATTTTCCATTTTCCAGATGTAGCCATGGAAGTAGCTACATCCAGATGTGTTCTTATCTGGCGTTAATTGTCATCTTTACAGAGGAAATTAAGCAAAAATGAAAGAATACAGATCAAATGAAAGGTTGTATCATGTTTATTTTACAGTTTGAATCAATTCCAATAAGAACAACTCATGTTATATGTGTAATGATTATTGTTTTATGCATTTTTCTTTTAGTTATAAATGAAAATGGGTCAGTATTTGCACGAGCAGCTGCTGCCATATTAAAGTTATGCTTTCATAAACGTGTTCAGCTGCAGGATATTCACTTCTGCTGCCAACTTATTGAAATTTTACCTTCCACTTCTCGTAAATTCAAAACCCCCTCAGCGGGGAGTTCTTTAGAAGGCCCTCTGGAATAAAACCTTATCAGTGGTGATTAGAACAGAATAAAACTGTGTGATGCTCAGATTCACATTGTGCTGAGAGGATGCTCTCACAAAAAACGTAACAAAAACCTTCTTCAACCACTTCATCCCTTGGATGTTGCGGATGGTTTTTATTTATTTTTGCTGTAGCTCAAATTCTGAAACACTAGATGAGTTCCTGCCTGTCGGAGGTAAAAAAAAAGGAAAATGGCTGACTCGTGCTGATTAATTTCACCGATATGACTCACACAGGTTATTCAGATTTTTTTCATTCCAAACCATTTTTCGTATTCAAAGCCACCTCGGGCCTTTATCATAGCCTGATATAGAGATAAATGGAAACTCTTGGTATACACATCCTCTACATATTTCCATTTTGCTTGGGGATATGCAGTGTATTTCATTTTTCCTGCTCTTCTCCCTTCCCATCCTGCTATTTTCTCCGCTGAGTTTATGATTCTGTAATATTGCGAGAGGTTGAGCTCATTTTTAGCTGGTGTGAATTTCGCACAGCGATGCCCGTGCCGTAAACATTCCGAATTTAATGTTGTGTGAAAGCAGCTGTCTGGACGTTAATGGTTCAAGACAACTTAAATGGACGCCATTAACATGCGGGTGCTGACTTCGATGTTTTGGAGGGCGGCTGGAGAAAAAAACCGGGCAGGATACAGGACGGCTTCCACTTCCTGCTTCTGTCAAACCTCATGGTGGAAGCCCTACTTTGTTCTGATTAGCCTCAAAAGAAGGTGACGGCTGATGGAGGCATGTGGGGGAGTGAGCGGCTTTGGGATGTTTGCAAATATGAGTGGTAGCCCTTCCTGTAACCAAGACTGTAACACCTTCCCTTAAGCTCAGATCACCAGTCTGTTCAAGCCTGATATAGAAAATACTTCTCCACTCCTGTACGTCTCACAGGAAAAAAGCTTTCAAAAATGTGACATTCTGTTGCAGCTGCTCCTTCACCATCCTGAGCAACGTTGTTCATTATATCCTATCTCTGCACCTCTCAAACAACAAACATGACAGGAAATGCGGATAAAACGAAGTAGCACAGGGCAGACTGGAAATTAAGTACCCTGCTCAGACTGATATCCATGCACATCTATGGAAATTTCATAAGAAGACAAGTGTGTACTCAAGCTGAATCGGGAAAAAAAAACATCGCCAAGGGCTTTAAGTGCTTTAAAAAGCTGTGAAAGGCTTTTACATTTCAGTCTAACAGTGCACTGTAGACTAATCAAAGATTAGCAAAAAAGTATATCTTTCTTTATGGGTTATATATAGCCAAACATTAATTTTATTATATTCATATAAGGAGATTTTTGTGTTAAAGTATATGCAATTTTAACGTCAGAAGCTCAACGTGTAGAAATCA